TTTTGCTTCCTCCTCATTCTCTCTTGCCACTGCCATGTAAGAAGTGCCTTTTGCCCTCTGCCATGATTGTGAGACCTTCCCCAGCCACGTGGAACTGTTAAGTTCAATTAAACCTCTTTGTTTTGTATGCTGCCCAGTCTCTGGTATGTCTTTATCAGCAGCATGAAAAAGGACTAATATAGTAAATTGGTACCAGTAGAGTGGGGCGTTGCTGAAAAGATACCCAAAATATGGAAGCAACTTTGGACCTGGGTAACAGGCAGAGGTTAGAACAGTGTGGAGGGTTCAGAAGAGGACAGGAAAATGTGGGAAAGCTGGGAACTTCCTAGAGACTTGTCGAATGGCTTTGCCCAAAATCCTGATGACAGTGTGGACAATAAAGTCCAGGCTGAGGTGGTCTCAGATGGAAATGAGGAACTTGTTGGGAACTGGAGCAAAACTGACTCTTGTTATGTTTTAGCAAAGAGACAGCAGCAATTTGCTCCTGCCCTAGAGATTTGTGGAACTTTGAACTTGAGAGCGATGATTTAGGGTATCTGGCAGAAGAAATTTCTAAGCAGCAAAGCATTCAAGAGGTGACCTGGGTGCTGTTAAAGGCATTCTGTTTCATAAGGGAAGCAGAGCATAAAAGTTTGGAAAATTTGTAGCTTGACAATGCATTAGAAAAGAAAATCCCATTTTCTGAGGAGACATTTAAGCCAGCTGCAGAAATTTGCATAAGTAACTTGGAGCTGAATGTTAATTCCCAAGACAATGGGGAAAATGTCACCAGGGCATGTCAGAGTTCTTCAAGGCAGCCCTTCTCATCACAGGCCTGGAGGCGTAGGAGGAAAAAAAGGGTTTCTTGGGCCAGGCTCAGGATCTCCATGCTGTGTGCAGCCTAGGGACTTGGTGTCCTGTGTCCCAGATGCTCCAGCCATGACTAAAAGGGGCCAAGTCACAGCTCAGCCATGGCTTCAGAGGGTGCAAGCCCCAAGATTTGGCAGGTCCCAGAACCATCATTCACTGGCCTTGGGCAGGTGACCCAGTCTCTTTGAGCATCCACAGAAGGGGATAATTGTTCATTTTACAAAACCCAAACCAAAGCTCAACAGCACTTGGCAGCTTCCACATGGTGTGGAGCCTGTGGGTGCACAGAAGTCAAGAATTGAGGTTTGGGAACCTCTGCCTAGATTTCAGAAGATGTATGGAAACACCTGGATGCCCAGGCAAAAGTTTGCTGCAGTGGCGGGACCCTCATGGAGAACCTCTGCAAGGACGGTGCAGAAAGGAAATGTGGGGTCAGAGTAGAGTCCCTACTGGGGCACCGCCTAGTGGAGCTATGAGAAGAGGGGCACCATCCTCTAGACCGCAGAATGGCAGATCCACCAACAGCTTGCACTGTGCACCTGGAAAAGCTGCAGGCACTCAATGCCAGTCCGTGAAAGCAGCCAGAAAGGTACCCTGCAAAGCCACAGGGGTGGAGCTGCCCAAGACCATGGGAACCCACCTCTTGCATCAGCATGACTCAGATATGCGAGATATGGCGTCAAAGGAGATCATTTTGGAACTTCAAGATTTGACTGCCCTGCTGGATTTTGAACTTGCCTGGGTCCTGTAGCCCCTTTGTTTTGGCTAATTTCTTCCATGTGGAACAGCTATATTTACCCAATGCCTGTACCCCCATTGTATCTAGGAAGTAACTAACTTGCTTTTGATTTTACAGGCTCATAGGTGGAAGAGACTTGTCTCAGATGAGACGTTGGACTGTAGACTTTTGGGTTAATACTGAAATGAGTTAAGACTTTGGGGGACTGTTGGGAAGGCATGATTGGTTTTGAAATGTGAGAACATGAGATTTGGGAGGGACCAGGGGCGGAATGATACGGTTTAGCTGTGCCCGCACCCAAATCTCAACTTGAATTGTATCTCCCAGAATTCCCATGTGTTGTGGGAGGGACCCAGTGGGAGGTAATTGAATCATGGGGGCCAGTCTTTCCCAAGCTATTCTCATGATAGTGAATAAGTCTCATGAGATCTGACGGGTTTATCAGGGGTTTCAGCTGCTTCCTCCGCATTCTTTCTTGCCACTGCCATGTAAGAAGTGCCTTTCGCCCTCCACCATGATTGTTAGACCTTCCCCAGCCATGTGGAATTGTAAGTCCAATTAAACCTCTTTCTTTTGTAAATTGCCCAGTCTTGGGTATGTCTTTATCAGCAGCATGAAAACGGACCAATACAACTTCCCAGAGTTGCACAGTATAGCAAGTCACTCCTGCTAAAGATGGTCAGCCACCTTCCTTTTCCCATCCTCAGTTCCTCTGCTCTAAAATGGGGATGAGACTGCTGGCTCACAGAGTGACTGTGCGGACTGAATGAAAGCATGTGTGTCCAGCACTAGCAGAGAGTGAGGACTGGCCCCGACTGTCACTGTCGGCACTTCCCACTGCCAATGCCCAGCCCTGGGCATAGGCCCAGCACAGAGCAGGAACCCCGGGAGAGGTGTCCACTGTGCAGGGCTGAGCGAGGAACCTAGTCCAGTGCCCTGGGAGCATCTGCGAACAGTTACCTAGGTACTCCTGCCTCTTTACATCAGGTGCCTCTTTATATCAGCTGTTACTACCATTGCCTCAGTTCTGTATCTTCTGGCTGCTGGGTTATGACCGCCCTTTGCATGTGCACAGCCCTTCACAGTTGGCAGTAAGGGTTAATCAACTTAGGTGAAGAGGGCAGGGCAGAAATTGCCACCCTTTAGTGCAGAGGACAAGGCTGAGACTTTAAGAGGGTCAGCGAGAGGTCCCCTCTGGTGGGAGTGGGTTTGGGCGGTGTTTTGAGTTGCTGGTTATGTAAGTGGGAGCTCATACAAGGCCATTTGGCATTTCACGGACCCCTTGCATAATCACCTCTGGGAATCAAAGGGTAATCTTGGGGCCTTTGTGGTGTTTGTTTAAACCCCAGGAAGGGTGGGTATGAATGAGCAGATCAGCCTAGCAGGGGAGGTGGGGCCTTTGGTGGTAATGAGCCCTGCGGTGAGGAGCTCACCCAGGGGAACAAAGGGGGCCTGAAGCAACTTAATATTTTCCTATTGGTTCCAGACATTGGAACACTCTGTCCTGCCTTGGTTGGGACCATGCCCAGGATGCACCTGGGCTGGATTTAATCCTGAAATTGGCCTCTACAAAAGAAAGAGGTGGGAGAGGAGGGGCCTACATGGGGATGGGGGCAGGGGAGAAGAGTCCCACTTTTCCCTGCCCCTGGGCAAAGCCAGAGTGCAGATCAAGTGGCTAGCTCTTTAAAGTTTCATGCAGGGCTGGTAATACAATCCTGCTACTCCCTCCCCACCCACCTTCCAGTCTGGAAGGGGGGCAGGTCCCTGGCCCATCTCCTCCCCCTCTCTCACCTCCTTCCTGAAGGCCAGAGGGAGGGATGGGCAGGAGGGCAGGGGGCCCAGAGCAGGGCCACCCAGATGAAGAACCCTGCTAGAAGGAAGCTTAGTGCCTTCTGTCTCCCAGGCTGCAGGCCGCTGTGCAGGGCAGGGGTGACCACACACTATCCAATTGGTCTAGTTAGAGGCTCCCACTGCCCAGCCCTCTGCTTCTCATGCTAGCACCACTGAGCACCAGCATCCCAGGAGCTACAGTGGACGTGAACACAGGCTTTGAATCTAACAGCAGTGGGTGGTGTGACCATTAGATGTGACAACACGTATGTAGCGCCCGGCATCTGTGGCAGCCACCACTGTAATTGGACAGAGGGAACTGAGATCTGAGGAGGGAAACTGGCTCATGCCATAGTATGTGTCAGTGGGAAAAGCCCCTCCTGCACCCTGCCTCTCCACCAGCTACTCTGCCAGTCCAACTGGAGGCAATGCATATGAATATAGGAATTGGAGTACAGCAGGCCTGGGTCCCATTCCTGCCCTGCATTTTACTAGTTTGGGGTAAAGCCCTATTCCTCTCTCAGCCTCTGTTTCTTCATCTGTATAATGGGGGAAGCAGCCTAATTGCCTGCCCAAGGTTAAAGGAGGCACGAAAGAGGTGTAGTAGCTTAATCTGCTGGGGGAAGGGGCAGGGTAAGGGGGAAAGGTGCTCGGGACAGGTGTCCCCAAAACCCATCTGGGAGTGTAGACACCTACGTTGGACACCAGGATGCCCAGTGAGAAGGGAAGATCCTGCCTCTGGATGACAGGCTAGGGGGACAGGGCAGGTGGAGTAGGGGTGCGGTGGGGTAGTCACTGCAGGCCCCATTGCAGGGAGGGAGCCCTGGTCTTGAAGTCTGGAGTGTGGGTCTCAGGCCTGGCTCAGCCCCGGCCAGACCACAGCAGTGGGCGGTGCTTTGTCAGTGTCCCCTCTAGTGCCACTCCACTCTGTTGTGTGGCTGTCCAAAAGTGTCTTAACCTAAGGCCCAGTTCCCTTTGAGTAAAACAGAATTTTCTGCCTTGCAAGGGGGTCGTGAGGGTCAGATGTGACTGTGCTGTGGGGCAGCCAGAATAGCACCTGACATGTAACACTTGCTCAGCAGAGAATGGGGCACCCTGGGCACACCCTACCCTCAGCCCAGTGGATGAGCCCCTCACCCGGGGGTCGGGGTCTAGACCAACCCAGGGACTCTGGACCATCAGAGCTGGAGAGGCCAGCCCGAGAAGCCGTCTAGTCTGGTGGGTTTCAAACTGGGTTTCCTAACACCCTAGGCAGGGATGGTGGGCAGAAGTGGAGGGCTTCAGGTCCCCCTCACTTCAGCCAGACCAGGCCTGCCTTCATCTGCTGCTCTTGTTTAAGAAAGGAGTCTGCTTCTTCTAGTTGAAAATTCACCACCTAGCCTCACGCCCCTTTACCATACAGATGGAGAGGCAGAGGCCAGAGAGGAACTGGGTCTAGGAACTCTGGGGAGTGTTCCAGGAAGCATTTCAGGAGGTTGGGGCCTGTGACACCTTCCAACGGTGTCTAGACTGGGCTCATGTTCTGTGCGGTGGGTTTAGACCATCTGGTGCATTCAGTCCTCACCCATGGCTCTCTTTCTAGCCCCCACCATGCCGTGGCCCCTGCTGCTGCTGCTGGCCGTGAGTGGGGCCCAGACAACCCGGCCATGCTTTCCCGGGTGCCAGTGCGAGGTGGAGACCTTCGGCCTTTTCGACAGCTTCAGCCTGACTCGGGTGGATTGCAGTGGCTTGGGCCCCCACATCATGCCAGTGCCCATCCCTCTGGACACAGCCCACTTGGACCTGTCCTCCAACCAGCTAGAGATGGTGAACGAGTCGGTGTTGGCGGGGCCGGGCTACACGACGCTGGCTGGCCTGGATCTCAGCCACAACCTGCTCACCAGCATCTCACCAACTGCCTTCTCCCGCCTTCGTTACCTGGAGTCGCTTGACCTCAGCCACAATGGCCTGACAGCCCTGCCAGCTGAAAGCTTCACCAGCTCACCCCTGAGTGACGTGAACCTTAGCCACAACCAGCTCCGGGAGGTCTCAGTGTCCGCGTTCACGACCCACAGTCAGGGCCGGGCACTACACGTGGACCTCTCCCACAACCTCATTCACCGCCTCGTGCCCCACCCCGCGAGGGCCGGCCTGCCTGCGCCCGCCATTCAGAGCCTGAACCTGGCCTGGAACCGGCTCCATGCCGTGCCCAACCTCCAAGACTTGCCCCTGCGCTACCTGAGCCTGGATGGGAACCCTCTAGCTGTCATTGGTCCGGGTGCCTTCGCAGGGCTGGCAGGCCTTACACACCTGTCTCTGGCCAGCCTGCAGAGGCTCCCTGAGCTGGCGCCCTATGGCTTCCGCGAGCTACCGGGACTGCAGGTCCTGGACCTGTCGGGCAACCCCAAGCTCAACTGGGCAGGAGCTGAGGTGTTCTCAGGCCTGAACTCCCTGCAGGAGCTGGACCTTTCGGGCACCAACCTGGTGCCCCTGCCTGAGGCGCTGCTTCTCCACCTCCCAGCACTGCAGAGTGTCAGCGTGGGCCAGGATGTGTGGTGCCGGCGCCTGGTGCGGGAGGGTGCCTACCCCCGGAGGCCTGGCTCCAGCCCCAAGGTGGCCCTGCACTGCGTAGACACCCGGGAATCTGCTGCCAGGGGCCCCAATATCTTGTGACGAATGGTGTGGCCCAGGGCCACATAGCAGACTGCTGTCCTGGGCTGCCTCTGGTCCCGAGTGACTTATGTTCCATGTGCCAACACCAGTGGGGAGCCCGCAGGCCTATGTTGCAGCGTCACTGCAGGAGTTGTGGGCCTAGGAGAGGCTTTGGACCTGGGAGTCACACCTAGCAGCAAAGTCTCGCCCCTTTGTCTACGTTGCTCCCCCAAACCATGAGCAGAGGGACTTCGATGCCAAACCAGACTCTGGTCCCCTCCTGCGTCCCTTCCCCACTTATCCCCCAAGTGCCTTCCCTCATGGCTGGGCCGGCCTGACCCGAGACGGGCAGAGGGTGGGTGGGACCCCCTGCTGCAAGGCAGAGTTCAGGTCCACTGGGCTGAGTGTCCCCTTGGGCCCGTGGCCCAGTCACTCAGGGGCATGAGTTTATTTTCTAACATAGCCCTTTCTTTGCCATGAGGCCATGAGACCCACTTCCTCCTTTTCTATTTCCCTAGAACCTTAATGGTAGAAGGAATTGCAAAGAATCAAGTCCACCCTTCTCATGTGACAGATGGGGAAACTGAGGCCTTGAGAAGGAAAAAGGCTAATCTGAGTTCCTACGGGGCAGTGGCACGACTGGAGCATAGCCTCCTGCCTCCCAGCCGGGCCCATTGCACTTTCTTGTCTCCTCTAATAAGCCCCGCCCTCCCCGCCTGGGCTCCCCTTGCTGCCCTTGCCCATTCCCCATTAGCACAAGAGTAGCAGCAGCAGGACAGGCAAGAGCCTCACAAGTGGGACTCTGGGCCTGGTGACCAGCTGTGTGGCATGGGCTAAGTCACTCTGCCCTTCGGAGCCTCTGGAAGCTTAGGGCACATTGGTTCCAGCCTAGCCAGTTTCTCACCCTGGGTTGGGGTCCCCCAGCATCCAGACTGGAAACCTACCCATTTTCCCCTGAGCATCCTCTAGATACTGCCCCAAGGAGTTGCTGCAGTTCTGGAGCCTCACCTGGCCGCGAGCTCCAAGGGGCCTCCTGGATTCAGTCCCCACTGGCCCTGAGTGCGACAGCCCTTCTCACCCTCCCAGGAATGCCGTGAAAGGAGGCAAGATCTCCCCCACCCATGTCTATGCTCGACCCCCAGGGTAGCATCTCAGCTTCCAAACCCTGGGCTGTTTCCTTAATCTTCATTTTATAAATGTTGTTGCCTTTTTAATGGACTGTCACTTTCAACCCGCCTCCCCCACCCCTGCTGGCCGGGGATGGAGACATGTCATTTGTAAAAGCAGGAAAAGGTTGCATTTGTTCACTTTTGTGATATTGTCCTGGGCCTGTGTTGCGGTGTTGGGGGAAGCTGGGCATCAGTGGCCACGTGGGCATCAGGGGCTGGCCCCACAGAGACCCCACAGGGCAGTGAGCTCTGTCTTCCCCCACCTGCCTAGCCCATCATCTATCTGACTGGTCCTTGATTTAATAAACACCATAAAAAGTTCTTTGCTTCACTCAGCCAGTGTCCACTGGCAATCCCTGGGCTGGGCTCTGGGGCCACCAAGATGAATCAGGTTAGGCCCTGCCCTGGGCAGCTTGTTCTCCCTGAAAAGCCTGATAATCTCAGGATTAAGGGAGTAAGGTGACGTGAGGGAGGGAGTTCCTGCACCTTGCTCACCTCTCATCTCCCCCGGCCCTCCCCGCTGTTCCTGTCACCCCAACTCCAGCCATAGCCATGAGCATGCCAGGCAGGCCCTTGCACACCTGTTCTCTTGCGCAGGTGTTACTGTGGGACCTTGCCCTTGTCCTCACCCCTGTCTCTCAACCTCCTTCCCATCCAGTAGACCTAGTGCCTGCCGGTCCTCAGAAGCTTCCCAAGCCCCTCCCACCTCCCTCCTCTGAACTGCAACAGTATTTTGTTCTTTCTTGGCGCTTCAGCTGGTATGGTACCCCAGCTCCTGTTTGCACACTTCCACTGACAGAGATCAGGCTTGCAGCGCATCTGGGTGGCTCTGCTGTCACCAAGTTCTTCCTTCTAACTGGCCAGTCTACAGGGAATGTCTACCATCATCACCAATGGCAGGTTTTTCCTGATACCTACTCTGTGCCCAGAACATTCAGGCCATATGCACTGGTAGGGAGCTTGCCCATCTTGTAATCAGGCCTCCCCAGGGAGAAGTATCAACCTGAGGCCCTGGGTCCGAGGCTGGCACTCAGCCGTCAAGGTAGGAAAGGGCTGAGGCGTGGCGCGGGGCGGTGTGGGGGAGAGGGAGGTCAGGGTGAGACCCTGGGCCCCCACAGTGCTCCTGTTTGTTCTTCACCTCCCCCACATTTCCTGGGACAAGAGAGGCTTCAGATGGAGGTAGGGATCACGGTACTTTCACCCACTGGGTCAGGGTCTTCCCAAGTCCCTGCTTGTGGAAGGAGTCCTTGAGGGAGGGCCATGGAACAAAAAGGCCTTAAACACAGGGCCAAAGCGTGCGGAGGCAGCGAAGGGAAGGAGGGGGCTTCTGCGGCAATCAGTTCTGGAGCAGGTCACCTCCGGCCGAGCTGCAGCTTCCTCTCTGCAAAACGGGGCAGGGTGAAGGCCCAGTGAGAGCATGGGCGTGGATGCCATCACGCTGGGCGGGCTCGTCCTTCCCGGTGGGGAACCTGCCCTGCACCCTGCAACCGTGGCCTCCTGCCAGCCATAAGGAGAGTGGAAGCCCCGGCGGGCCTAGCCGACCCGGGAGTCCCCGCGCCCCTCCTTCCCCTTGCGGAGACTCCCGGCCCGCAGCGCCACCTCGTGCTCACGCATGGCCAGACACCCCAGGTCCCCCCGGGGCCAGGAGCCAGGCCCAGGGCGGCTGCAGAACAAAGTGGGCTGAGCTGTTTGCTTTATGAGGCCAGTCCCTCTCCGCCCGCCAGACTACCCTCGCCCTGCTGTACTCCACCCTCCAGGAACCCTGGTGCTCAGGGCGAGGGCCTTCGAATCTTACACAATCAGGAAAATTAGTGCAAAGAATCCGTTTTGGAATTCACAGAAAAGGGCTGAAATCTTGGGTTCATCACTAACCAATTGTGTGATTTTTGACCAGGTCGCTTTATTTCTCTGAACCTGGAAAATAGGGATGAAAATATCCCCCTCAAGGCCGGGCACGATGGCTCCTGCCTGTAATCCGAGCACTTTGGGAGGCTGAGGCAGGAGGATCGCTTGAGCTCAGGAGTTCAAAACTAAGACTAGCCTGCGCAACATAATTTAAAAATTTAAAAATTAACCGGGCATGGTGATGACGCCTGTAGTCCCAGCTGCTTGGGAGGCTAAAGTGGGAGGATGGCTTGAACCTGGGAGGTTGGGCGACAGAGCTAGACCCTGTTTAAAAAAAAAAAAGAAAGAAAGAAAGAAAGGAGAGAAAAAGAAAGACAAAAAAGAAAGAGAAAGAAAGGGGAAATATCTCCTTGATCCTGGGAGGTTGAGGCTGCCGTGAGCTGAGATTGTGCCACTGCACTCCAGCCTGAGTGACAGAGCTAGACCCTGAAATAAAAAGGAAGGGAGGGAGGAAGGGTGGGAGGGAGAGAGAAAGGAAGGAAGGAAGGAAGGGAAAATAGCTCCCTCCACAGGACTGTATGAAGAAGAAATGAAGTAACATTTGTAGAGAACCAAGTACTGTGTGCCTGGCACAAAATGACAGCCTGTAAGCGCTCTTTCCTGCCCTCATCCAACTTCATAGAGCCTCCAGAGTAGTTGAGACTACAGGCTTGTGTCACCATGCTCAGCTAATATTTTATTTTTTAGTAGACAAGATCTCGTTTTGTTGCCCAGGCTGGTCTTGAACTCCTGAGGTCAGCTTCATAGTGTTATGAAGTAGATTACAGAGCCATGTAGTCTGAGTCCGTTTTTATAACTGTCACTCAGAACTGAAGAATTTTGTAAAGTTCTGGGACTGTAGAATCACAGAACAACACCCGGTAATCCACAGGGTCATGGAGTAGGTACTCACCGTCAGCTGTGGCCCAGCTCACCACCCTGGGTCAGCAGGGTCACCAATCTCTTTCTGCCTTTCATAATAATGCAGTGGCCAGCTATGGTTATGTGTTCCTCATGCTTTGGGTACATGCCATCATCTCCTCACAACTGCACCAGGTTTTTTGTCACCATACAGATGAAGAAACCGGCATAGGCCAGGCTTTATCTGTCAGATGGCAATTCTCACATTCTTCCTTGTCCTACCCCAGGGGCCGGGCCAGATGTGTAAACCCCATGAATCAGAGAGGGTAGAGGTGCACTGAGAGACCAGAAAGCACTGGGATTCCATTGCTTTTTCATTTTCAAATAAATTGGAGAAGTTAATGCAGTTCTACATAGCTCCAATCAGACTGTTGATTCTAGATCTTAGAGCATAAAAAGCCAAAGTTCAAAGTTAAAGTCCTTTCTCTCCTGGCCCCTTTTCACAGATGGGGAAACTGAGGCCCAGAGACGAGTAAGTTGCCATGGTCCATGGCCAGAATTCTGTGCTTCAGAACTGCCTGTGTGATTTGTGGGACCCAGTATAAAATGAAAATGTAGGGCCCCTTGTTCGAAGTTATTAGGATTTCAAGATGACAGGAACAGAGCATTAAACCAAGCACAGGGTCCTTCTATGGTTTCACTGCCCAAGAAGCCAGCCCTGCTGCGATTTGATTATCTCATTTCTAAAGGAGGTGCAAACACCCAGACAGTGTTGGTCAGGATGGCAGAAGAGAGTAGGTGTAGATTTGTGTGTAATCCAATCCCTCTGTAGTTCAGGGAGCCAATGAGACTCTTCTAAATTCAGAAATGTCCCTCTGTTGTTATCACACAACCCCCTGGTTTCCCCAAATTGTCATGGCCAAAAGGCTTTCAGAGGGAAAAGGCGGCTAAAGAGGTAGATTCTACCATCCAGCTGCCACCAAACCAGCTCATGAGCTGTTTCTCTGGACTGCCAGGAATATGGTGAGCAGAGGCCTACCCCTTGCTCACTTTATGTGCTTACAGAATTTAAAGTCCACCAGTGCTAACGCCCACGCATACCTAATCTCCACCAAGGGCAATGTCTATGATGACAGAGGTCATCATAGGCTAATAGGACCTTGCCCATCAATGTTCAGCATTCCTTGTTGGCTAACGTTCACCAGGGTGCAAATATTGGTTGATATCTAATGTTTATCATATGAATGATAGCTTCCACCAATGACCAATATCCACAAAGGGAAAATGTCTGTTGGAGGCAGTGTCCACTGTATATCAGTGCCCAGTGTTCACTGGTAGCTAATTGCAATTATACTTGCTCTGTGCATCAATACCCAATGTCAGTCCATAGCTCAGCTTCTAACGACAGCAAATGTCTATCCAGTTAAGTCACATGCCCTGTGTTTATTCTTCTCTTTATTTATTTAAGTACTAGTGGTTCTGTCTACAGGGATTATTGTGTTTGTTGAGCTTGGAGGGAAATTCCTGTGTGTTTATTCTTTAGTTCCCAAAGCTATTTATTATTTTCTTTTGCATATCCATTAGATAGTCAAAGTGTTCTGAACTGGAGGTACAAACACATTTATGTTTCTTTTTGTCTTCCTTCCTTCCTTCCTTCCTTCCTTCCTTCCTTCCTTCCTTCCTTCCTTCCTTCCTTCCTTCCTTCCTTCCTTTTCTTTTTTCAGGCTCTCATTCTGTCACCCAGGCTGGAGTGCAGTGGTGTAATCATAGCTCACTGTAGCCAATCTCCCTTGCACAAGCAAGCCTCCTGCCTCAGCCTCCCGAGTAACTGGGACTATGGGCTTGCATCACCATGCTCAGCTAATATTTTATTTTTTCGTAGACAAAGTCTCATTTTGTTGCCTAGGTTGGTCTTGAACTCCTGAGCTCAAGAAATCCTCCCACTTCAGCCTCCCAAAGTATTGAGATTACATACGTGAGCCACTGTGCCCTGCCATGTTTATATATGCACATATGTATATGTAACATATAAATAATTGCATATATGACACAGGAAGACACAGAAATAATATATACATGATACAGGAAGACACAGAAAAAGAGAAACTAGTCTTTTACCAGAAGTATCAACTCAGGAACAATTTTCTAATTAGCTGAGCCTCAGAAGCAACAACTTTTCCAAAGTGAAGGGATGAATGGAGGTGCCAGCCCTCTTGCTCAGGTTAAGAAAGGCAAAGAGCCCGGCTTTTGGCTGTAAAAAGCCAGGTTCCCTAATCAGGTGAAGGCCCGAGGCGGGGACTTCTTAGAGCAGTGTAACTAGTAGCCAAGGCACAGGCTCCAAAGGGAGGTTGCCTGGGCTCAAGCCTGGCCCTGCCACTCACAGCTGGGTGTCCCGGGGTGAGCTGCTCAGCCCCTCGTTCACCCTCAGTTCCACATCTGTAAATGGAAGTCTAGTAGCTACCTCACAGGGCAGTTGTTGAAAATAAGTTAATGCTCCTAAAACCCTGAGAAGAGTGCTCTGTGTATGATAAGTGTTCATAGACATCACATGATTTATTTGTTTTGAAAATTCTTCTT